CTACCCCTCTCCTTAGTTACTTTTCCTGTTGCTGAAACAAAATGCCTAACATTCAAAGTTAAAGAGGGAAAGATTTATTTAGCTCAGTTTGTAGAGATTTTAGTCCATAGTCGACTGTCTCCAAGGCAAGGTGCCACATGGCAGAGGGGCAACAGTTCATGGTGGTAGAAGACAGCAAAAGCAACACGAGAGAGGAAAGAGAGGAGAGAAGACTTTTTCTGTCCCTTATATTGTATGTAGGCTATCCACCCTAGGGGGGAGGGGTGTAGCATTCACACCCTTAATCCCAGCACCCTTAATCCCTTAATCTCAGCATTGTGCTATGAATCAATCACATACTTTAGGTTCAGCCACTTCCAAAAAGCCCCATCTAAAACTGCATGAGGCTTTGGGGGGACATCTAGGCACAAACCATAACACCCTCCCTGTGTCCCCTCCTTGGAGAAGCTTCACAGGAGAATGGTGGGGCTGTCCCAGTGCACTGAGTTGTATAGCAAGAAATTATGAAAGCGTGATGATAGGCATCAACAGTTGTACAGAGAAATGGAGAAATAGATGAGACTATGATGTTAGAAAGGCTTCTGTTCTTCCCCATTAATTTAGAAATCCAATTTGATTTCAATCAGTATCTTATCAAGGTTTCCTACAGAGATAGAAACACTGATTCTAACACATATAGAGAAGAACTAATGGCCACGAATGACAGGAATTGTTGAATAGGAAGAATAAGGTGGTGATGGGATTCTAGAATATGAAGGCTGGTTAGGAAGTTAAGCTAAAACAGGTATTCTCAGAGAGCTGGACATGGGCAGAAGTGGTGCCTCTCCACCCAAAGGACACTGAGACTCACAGAGTAGCTGTTGTCCTTGTCTCTCAGTTCAATAAGTGACAGGAAGAGCTCTTCCCATTCCTGTATTGGCCATTTCCTCCCAGAGGCTCTGGCCACATCCAGCTGCCTGGGGACATCAAGCACTAGCAGGAGCCCAGCAGGGATGCTCTGGTTCCCTGTTGGCCTCAATTCAGGCCCACCTGAATGATGAAACATGTACAAACTCATACTAATTTAATTAATCCTATAAAATATTAGCATCTTGATGTAGTGATTTTTGTTAAGTAATAAGCAATGAATAAAGAGGTGCAGTCTCAGTGTCCCTTATCTAGGCCCCTGACTCTAACACCAGCCCCTCAGGCGTCTCTACATGCAGGTAGAAAAGAACATGTGTAAATGGTGAAAAGGCTGGCTCCCTGGCTTTGTCTGTGCCTGCAGCACAGAGCCAGCCAAATCCTGATATCATCAGGTACCTTGGACTCTGGAGTGACTCTTAGGAGCCCAACAGAATGCCCTGGTCAACCCAGACCATCTCCTGCCGAATACTGTGCCTGAATCCTGGGGGCCCAGCACAGCTATGGAAGGATACACAGGTTACACCTGCAGCTATGGGATGCCCGCTTCCAAGCTTTAGCCCAGGGTACAAGGGCCCATCTTGATTCAACACCCATGGCTTGACCTAGACACCAAACTAAGTGATCTTTCCAACATGAACTATTTCCCCTGAAACACCTTCAGTAAAATAAGTCTAGAGAGCAGACTCCTGCAGGAGCAGAGAAGACAGAACTGACCTCCTTCTTCTAGGCACTGACAGACTCAGTGTGACATGCACACACTGGCTCATACACACATTTGTGTACACAGAACAAAAATATATATGCACACAGTGTTCAACTAGGCACATACATGAGCATAGATGTATATAATGTTTTGGTTCTCACACACACATACACACATGCCATATACATCCCCACAATGCACATGTTCCAGATCACCCAATACCACTCAGGGCTATGTTCTCATTATCAGTTCTGCAGATCTTCACCGATAACCTATCAATGTACTGTACTTTTCTCTTATGTAATTGCTAAATTTACATATGGTAAAATTCACTTTTTTAGGGGGATACTAGAGATTGGACCAAGGGCCTTGTGTTTGCTAGGTAAGTGCTTTACCCTGAGTTACCCCGTATCCTTTTTTATTTTGAGACAGAGTCTCACTGTACAGCCCAAACCAGCTCAGAACTTGTGATCCTTTTGCCTCAGCCTCCTGAACAATCAGGATTTTAGGTATGGACTACCATGTGCAGTGAAGTTCACTCTTGGTGGTGTAAAATTCTATGGGTATAAGTTCCAAGTCCCAGTAATCATCATAATTCTTCCACTGTCCAACAACTCAGGTTGAAAGTATGTTCAGTATTGTACATTGGCTTTACTTAAGTGAATCGAGCAGTTGAGTGAAATGGTGAATGAGTAAAAACTGCAAGGATGGAAGAATATGTGGATGAGTCAGGTAAATGATGACTGGTTGGAGGAGGGAAGATGTTAAAGCAGTGCGTAGATGGACTGACGGGTGAGTGGAGGGATAGAGATTGGATGAACAGATGATGGATAATGAATGGATAAATATTGGTGTGTGGCTGGGCATATTAGAATGACTCAGTCTCAGCATGAGAATCATTTTGGACCCAGATATACTTGACTCATGATTGACAGTAATTAGTAGGGCAAATGTACATGTATATGCAGGAATATTTGTTCATATCCTTTCATCACTACAGAAATTTGGAAACCAATAAATGTCTGCCCACAGAGATTGGGTTAAGTGAGCCCCAGAATAATACAGCCAAATAGAGTGCACTGTTAAAAGTGTGTTTCAGTTAGGTATACAGGTGAACACTAGTAATCTCAGCTACCTGTGATGTTGAGGTAGGCGATCACAAGTTCAAGGCAAGCCTGGGAAACAGTGAAACTTTATCACAAAATAAAAAATAAAAAGGCTGGGGATGCAGCTCAGTGGTGCAATGCTATTGTGTTTTCTTTCCAGTAATAAAAAATGTGAATTTCATTCACATCACAGAATAGCTGCATTCATTGTATCTGGCAGGAACTCAACGTATCCATCAAAATACTCTTGGAAAACCAATTCTCTGTCCAGGAGGGGGCAGTGGTGACATCTGGTGGGGAAGAGTACATAAGTGCTGGAGATAGACAGTGAGGCTGAGCAGATTTGATGTGGTGTCTAAGGCTTGATTCTTCCCTAGAATTCTGAGAATGTGGAGGAAGAACTTTGTGGCACTGCAGGAGTCTTGTATCCAACCAGAGACTCTGGTATTATCACTCATATGGTTCCATCTGAAGCCAGGCTGGGTTATAGCAGATGCAGGAGAAACAAGACCATGGATGAGGCCTCCCAGCTTCCAGAAACCGCATGCTCTCTCAGCCTCCATTCTGAGATGTTGGTACATGACTGGTTCCTCTGCACAGCCTTTCTTAACCTGACTTCTTGGCAACACTGGTCCTGGGCAGCCACAACCTTCACAACCTAACGGTTATCCTGTTATCACTGGCCAGTCTCCTTGTTCCAATCTTAATGATTGTATGATCTGCTCACAGTCTGGGTTCTCTGTGATCCTATCACTGAAGGTGCTCATGGTGGCCTGGTCCAGACCCTATCAGGGTGATAAGGTATCCTGTTGCCAGGCCTCATTGCTTAACAGCTCCAGCCAGGACCACCAAGGAGGAGCCTCAGGTTGATCCTGCCCAGATAACGGACTCAAGGCTCCACCACTGCCACAGAGAGCTATATGCAGAATGTGTTCTCACAAAGATACTCTTCCTGCCACTCATTAGGCTGTGGCAGCTAACTTGGGAGGCAAAGAAGGGTACATCCCTGACCTCTCACTTCCTTTGTCTGCTCCTGTCTGGAAAGGCTTGGACATCCCTGAAGATTCTGCCGCTTCTCTAACACAGCCTCCTCCTGTCTTTCTTTTCCTCCAGGCTGGGAGGTAGGCTGTCTCTCATGGCCACAGGGCTCTGTCTTCCTGCAGTATCACAACCTGGGGTCCTCCCAGGTTCAGACTAATGCCCTCGAATTCCAGTGCTGGTGCCCCTGGAATCTTGGGAACCCTGTCCCAATCAGGGAACCCTGTCCCTGCATGACTGTGTGAGAAATCCCTTAGAATTCCTCAGCCACCCAACCTGCTATGAGGTCTGCAGGGCCAGCTTGCTGCTGAGGAGAAAAGAAAAGTGTGTGTAGGGCTGGGGATTTAGTTCAGTGGCATAAGCGCTTTCCTGGCAAATGTGAGATCCTGAGTTTGATCCCTCGTACCAAAAAAAAGTGTGTCCTGGGCAGGAAGAGGAGGAATGTCAACTGGGGTACTTTGGAATTCTCAGGGCCCAAGTGTTATACAGATATGACATGGGACACAACAGGGTTACTAACAGTGGCCACGGGCCCTGGGCAGTGGGGTAACCCTGCCCTATCCTATGCTCTGTCCCAAGACCACTTCTCACACCAGTAGTGAGGTTGGCTGTTGGTTCCCTGAAGCCTGCTGCAGTCCTTGTGACCTCAAATATGTCTCTCCAGGGGACATGCTTAGGCACAGTGTTCAGGGGTTGTATGGGGTGCGGTTCTGGAAAGTGGAGGCCCAGAAGGGGATCCTGGGTGACATAGTTCACCATGATGTGGATACTGCAGCCACATGCTCCTAAACTGGGATATTATATCCCCTGGTACTAAATGCCACTTCTCCCTCTCCATGTGTTGTGGGGAGGATGGTGCTCACTTTGTGTATCCCAAAACATTGGGTTCACGCACCTGCCATGGATCGGATGAAACTTCTGTGATCAATGCCCTTGGCTGACCATCCCTGCTCTCATTCCAGTCATTCCCATAACATAAGCTTTGACCCATTCATAGCATATGTGGGCACCCTGGAACTCAGAAAACAACAAGGCCTCCTGCATCATCCATCACAACATGAGGTCCAGTGCCACTTCCTGCTTGCCCTTCCTCCAAGACAAGACAGGTCAAACCCCTGCCCATTTCCTGTGGCTGCAAGATAAAGGGCCTAAGAGCCCTAGGGAGGAGGAGTGTGGAGTCCTTCCATGGTAAGGACCTGAACCTCTGGTAGCACTGATCCTCTTCATCCCTTACCTAGCACACCCAGCCCTTGCATGCCTCTCTCCTCCACAGATGCTGAGCCTGCTGTTTCTGACTCTCTGCCTCGTGGGAGGCTCTGTTGCTAAGCCTCCAGGTGAGTCTTGATCCCACATCACACCATGCCTTCCCTGGAGGCCTCTGCAAACCCTGGCCTCAGGATCCTGGGATGTGTGCAGCAGGCTTCAGGTTAGTTGTCTTAATCCAGCCTCACTGACGCTCCACATATTTCTTCTAGCACCAGCCATCAAGAAGGACCTGGTGGGCATTGTGGGAGGACAAAATGCTGCCAAGGGGAAGTGGCCCTGGCAGGTCAGCCTGAAGATGTACAGCTACTACTCCTCTGCCTGGGTGCACATATGTGGTGGTTCCCTCATTCACCCAAAGTGGGTGCTGACTGCTGCCCACTGCATTCACCAGTGAGTACTGTTGTCCAGCACTGGGTGCAATATGGGGTAAATGGAGGTATTGGTGAAGGTTTAGGTTTAGGTTAAATTCAATCTCTGAATTTAGGTGATTCTGCTCAGAACTTCTGAGTCTTCCCCCATGATGCTCAGTGGGAACCCTATAATGAGCTGTTGTTGGGACTTCTTTCCCCCCACAGTCGAAATACTGACCCATCAACTTACCGCGTCCTGGCCGGAGAAATTTACCTCTATGGGGACCAGAAGCTGTTGACTGTGAGCCGGATCATTGTCCACCCAGATTTCGTTTATGCTAGTCGGGGTGCAGATGTAGCACTGCTACAGCTGGCAGAACCAGCGGATTGCTCTGGCAATGTCCAACCCATCAGGCTGTCCTCCCTCAATAATGAGGTCACCCAGAAGGACGAGTGTTGGGTGACTGGGTGGGGTGCTCTGAGATATTATGGTAAGTGTTGGGGACACTGCTGATATGTTCCATCATGAGCCTCAACAGCTGAGGCCTGGGCAAGACTGGGGCATGAATTTAGGACCGAGGGTAGTAACACTTCATATCATTTGCACAAAAAAGAGACTTTTCTTAAAAAAAAACAACAGCACACATAGCTCCCTTATTTCTCTTCTTCCAACTTCAGGTGGAGATAACCACAGGTAGAAAGTCAGGATCTAGAGGGACACGAACTAGTGCATTTTGGGTTCCCTCCACTGTCTTGCAAGAGGGGAAGCTGAGGAAGAGGACTTCAGTGACCTGCATAGGGTGCAGCTGACCTTCAGTTAGTCTGTGGTGCCCCCAGCAATAGTCATGTTCCCAGTGGGCTTGGATGGGAGCCTGTGCCACAAACAATTCTGCCACTTCCTGCTCTCTCCCACCCTCAGGTTGGCTGCCACCACCTTTCCGCCTGCAGGAGGTAAAAGTGCAGGTGGTTGAGAACTCTGTCTGTGAACAGCTGTACCAGAAAGCTACTTGGTACCACCACGATGACAGACGGATCATTTTTGATGACATGTTGTGTGCTGGCAGTGAGGGCCGTGACTCCTGCCAGGTGAGTCTCATCTGTCTTTATCTCTGCCCATCACTAACATCCATGTTTGAAGGCCAGTATTCTTCATATCTTTTTGTTCCTAGGGTGATTCTGGTGGGCCACTTGTCTGCAAGAACTCAGATTCTTGGACCTTGGTGGGAGTGGTCAGCTGGGGTTATGGCTGTGGCTGGCGTGACCTTCCTGGCATATATGCTCGCGTTCAGTCCTATGTGCCCTGGATCAAGCAGCATATTCAGAGTTCCTCCTGAGCCCAGTCTACAGGCCTGCACTGGTCGCCAAGGAGGAGCCTGCTGTCCTCCTACCAGTGCCTGGGCCTGCTGCTTCTGCTTCTGCCTGACCCAGGATTCACCTTTTCCTCAAGCCTCCTTGGAGTGCTGGAGTTCCATGAAAACTTGGAGGCTATGGGCCTGTGCCTGGCTCTTGCTGTCTGCCCCTGGTGGGAAGGCACAAGGTGTGTGGGGCAGAGGCTTGAGATTCATGGCACTGGTGCCCGAGTTTGATGAGCACCTAGGTGTTGGAGGACACCTGGCATATTTCCACTTTCTGCTTATTCTCAATAAAGATGCTAGGAGTAATTCTGCTGAGGTTTTTATGAGTGAAAATCGTGTTTTCTCTAGTAGAAAAACCAACGACTGCCATTTCAATACTTTTTTCCAAATGAGGAGCCAAGGCTTTAATCCTCCATAGTTAGGGCTCATGTGAGGTCTGCACATACCAATATTTTTCTGTGCTCCACGTGTGTCCTCTACCCTGGGACTCAGGGACAGTTATCAGGTTTGTTTCTCATCAACCTGTTTCCTCAATGACAGAGAATCCCATATATGTCCTAGACCCAGACTTAGCTATGTTGCCCAGGAAAGTGGGTTACCTGCAGTGAGGGCCCAACTTACCCATCTGCCTTTCCGCTGGAAAGCTGGGTCCTCCAGCCCGAGAGGGGCAGTGCTTCAGCCCCTGCTCCCTGAGCCTCTCGAGAAGGAGGTGGGAATGCAAAGCTGAGGCCTCTGCTCCTACCCTGTGGAGGGCAGCAAAAGGACAAAGACTAATGCAGAGGATGAGTGAGGCGGGCCTTGGGAACCAGACCCTTGGGAAGGTGGGCGAAGGAGCTGACTGCATGCCCCCAGTTTCCATGCACATTATCTCCACCATCTGGGGGGATACCACTTACAAACACATACAGTAATTTCATGACAGCTGGGGGGGGATCATCACCTGTCAGCTGCCATAGCCAGAGAGCCTCAGCTTTCAGCCTTCAGCACTTGGTCCAGCCAGAGACAGTACACCCACACCTTTCAGTCAGTCACCTGCCACTCACCAGCCTCACTCCCACCGCTGCTGATTGTCCGGCCTCCAAGGTGGTTGGACATTGGCTGAGGCCCCAGTGTTGTCATGTCACAGTAAGTGATGCCTGCAGTGTTCCCCTGGCAACGGTTGAGCTAGGTGACTGAGTCTTGTGGGCTGTGGATCCTGGATCTGACTCTATTGTCAGGCTGGGCTGTCTCTCTCTTTTTTTTTTTTTTCCAATTTGCCACTTGGGGGAATTCCTGAGAAGATGACAGTGGACAGCGGTACCTGGTGTCTTCTATGGTCAGCCCTCTTGCGCCTCCAGTCCTGAGCTACCATTAGTCTTTTTTTCTGTTGCGCTTCTGTGACTGGCCTTTTACAAATGAGGAAACCAAGCGAGATCACTCTAAATTTGGACACGCATGTGAACCCTAGGTCTGCAAACATCAAACCTGTGTCTGTTTCTTAGCTCCAGGGTGCTAGGACAGTATCAGCTTTAGATTTGTTATCCCGTTTCCTCAAGAAACAGGAACCCAGACTCAGATGTGCCACACAGGGGCAGAGTGGGGTTGAGAGGCCGCAAAATCAACCTGGCCTAAGAGATCTGAGGTATGGAAGGGTGATGTTTCTTGGCTGCAGCTGGGATTGGCAGTGAGGTGTGGGGGGCAGTGAGGGAGATGGGGAATTAGCCATTCACCTTGGCAGCCAAATGAGTCCTGAAAAAACTGTATTCCAGTGACCTTCATCCAGCCACACTGTCCATGGGACAGTGTGGGCCCTGAGCTATCCTTTCTTTCCACCCACTGTCCATGGGACATGGGCCCTGAGCTATCCTTTCTTTCCACCCACGCTTAGTATCTTTCAGCATAAGGGAGTGGGGAGATAAGGAAAGGGCCTTGGTGGTCTCTTGGTGGTTATAAGGTTGATAGTGGAGTAAGGTCAATACATCAGCTATCATAACAAAGGATATGAAAAACCCAGAGTTTTGGGGCCAGGGAATTTGCTCAGTGGCATAAGCGCCTGCCTGGCAAGCATGAGGTTGTGAGTTAGATTCCTGTACCAAAACAGAAAAATACCAAAACCAAAACCAAACAAAAACCCCAGAGTTTCAAGAGGAGGCCAGATCTGTGTCACCTTGATGTTGGGCTTAAGAGTCCCCTTCTTTCTCCTGAAAGTGGTACTCACTCTGACAACCCTCACACTCTTGCTCCTGGAAGAAAAGGATTAGCCTTCAGTTCCTGATATGCTGTAACATGCAGGATTGCAGTGAAAGAGGCTACCGCCCCTTTACCTGCCTCTGATATAGGGTTTGGTGCCCATTCCCCACACTCCAGGGTTCCTCCTCAACCCTGATAATCATTAGGTTTCCTGGGCTTTTAGCCACCACTATTCCCTGAGATGGGTTTGAGGAAAAGTGATCATGTGCATTCCAATTGACTCTTTGAGTGGGCAGGTGCCCACTTGGTCCTCAGTGTGACTACTCTGTCTACTATAGCATTCAAAGTCCTTCCCCGTGAGCGTATTTTTATGTGGCTCACAAGGAAACTCAGATCAGAAAAGGATCTGCATCTTGCCACAATATACTGTGTCAGAAGCTCTGTGAAAACCTTTCTGCTTTTCTTCAAAACAGCAGTCAGGGACATGACTTTGGTATATAATGAAGGGGTAATAATGCTCCTTCTGTCTTCATCCTAGGAACCAGTGACTACAGACAATCCTTTTCACCTAAATGCATTTGTTATGGTTGATACATTGTGTCGCCTTGAGAAGTTTAGACGTTTAACTAAGAGAGTCAGCAGGGAGTCAGGATCCTTATTTTGTATATACCCTCATCCTGTGCAAGGGGAAGGCATGGAGATTTTGTGAGTGCTATGCCGTCCTGGAGGTCAAGTGGGAGGGGTGGGGGGTGATAGGGGTTTGTTGAGGTAAGGGTAGGGTGGGTGGGGTGGGGTGTAGCCTATGGATAATATAAAGGAAGAAAAGAGACTTGCTCTTGCCCCTTTTGTTCTGGCTGCTTTTGCTGGCTGCTGCCTTGAACTGTTGCCCCTGTGCCATGGAGCAGCTGATTGTGGACTGAAACCTCCACAAAAAGTAAGCTAAATAAACCTTTTCTACCTTCATTTTGAATGACTAGTATTTTGTTTCAGCAGTGCGAGAAAAGTAGTCAAGACAGCATTGAAAGCTGAAGCAAAATTTCATTGCTTGGTCCCACATTACAAGCATGCAGTGACTACATATGGCCTGTGCCTGAGCCTTGTTGGCAAATACATGGCATATATGGCACCATAGAAAGTTCCAATGGGCTGCATTACCCTTGAGGTTCAGAAAGTTAACCTTAGCAGATAGAACTGGGAGGGAGAGGTGTTATCTGAATCTGAGAAAAATCAATGTAGTTATTACTAAGTCCCTGAAATGTCCATTTTATGATCCAAAATCTCTTGGCAAGGCCAAGGGACCTTGTAAGCAGAACAGGGGGCAGATTTTTTGAACAAACATTATCTGAGGGATACTGGAGTTTGAGAAAACTAGTATGACCTGGAGGAGAAACTGCCTCCCTGCCCATGTACTAAATCAGCTTGAGACAGTTAAGGATCATGATGTCTCCATGTTGGAACTGACTGCTGGAATGACAAAATAAGCTCCTGGGCCCAGTAAACTATTTATAGCGTGGGATAATTCAACAAACCTAACATAAGACTCTGATCAAACCACAGTAGAATGTTTGCATGGGGTGGAAAATTGTTACTCAAAAAACTAAAGAATTCATCTAGCTTCACTTGCTCTTCAGCAATTTAACAATCACTAATTTTGGAGATCACACAGCTAGGCAGTGCATTTCGCTTTGCTAAAGAGAATATCTGTTATGTGGAGGCTAAGGTTATGGTGGCCTTGATTATTTTTGCTTATAACACTGTGTCTTCATTTTGGCCTGCAGATATTTGAGGGATAACTAAGATGGAACAATAACCTTGGCATCCCTGTGTTCACTGTTTCTGTCCCCTTTGCTGCCTTAATCCTTTTAAAAAAATTTTATTTAAAAGGAAAAAGAGAAAAAACAAAACAAAACAAAGTGGTGTAAGGGTACAAGTAATACAGAACTACAAAAAAAAAAAAAAACAGTAAGAAATCACCAGTTAATAGATTACATATTATCATCTTAGAGATAGTTGCTCAAGTCACAGTATCAAAGCATACAAAGTGGACATTCAAACAGTGAGACTGCAAACAGTTGTGTTCAATGATCCAACCAAAAACATTAATATGGTCAGCTACTTAACACCCCTAAACACCCTTGCTGTTGTATCTTTTAGAGCACTTTTTTCCTTCTCTTTTTTACAACAAAATTTACACATTTTGGGTTTTATTACTCCTTAGTTCTTATTACTTTTTTTTGGGGGGGAGTGAATAAAGTCAAATATGGAAAAACAAAGCTGTCAGCCAAAACCAAGGATAGACATAGCACATGATGTAAAAACAGAGTACAAGGTTATCAACAATGGTTACCATAATGTCTCTTGTTTCCTTAAAAAGAATTGTCTATCTCATTAGGTATTATAAAGTTGAACAAAACAGTAGAGAACAAGACCAATAAAACTTAAGCATTGTAAACATTACAGGACTTCCAAAGGAGACAATAGTCAAACCAGAATGGGCATCTTAGTGAATCTTATTGCCTTCAAAGTAGTTGCGTATACCCTCAAACTTGATACTATCATACAGAATGGAACAGAGTCTAATCAGTCAAAACAAGATCGTGGGAGTATTACAGGACTTCAAAACAAGTTAATAGGAAATCAAAACGAGTTACTATTATATATCCTGCTAATTTTTTAATTTTTCCCCTTAATTAAAAAAAACCATAAAAAATAACTAAATAATTTTTTTTAATAAATAAGGGAGAGATTGAGATAAAAGAGGACATAACAATATAACAATACAGGTCAAAGCATGACTGTTTCAGCAACCTAGAGCTTCACCACCAAATAACCCGACTTAATAGTAGTTACCATAGTGTCTGTCTTTTTCCTTGAAATATTTGACTAAAGCTTCATATACTATAGCTTCAAATATTTCCATATCAAGAAGCCCAGAATAAAGCCTTTCCAATTAATAAGTGAAAACTTTATAAGGCTTCAAGGCCACATAATGGGGAATCATGATTACCCCATATTTTTATATATTTGAATCATTACTTACATTAGGGAAACTATTCGCTATTCACACATACGAGATTGATTTATTTCACTCATGAGTATGGTCTCAAGCTACGCCCTTTTATTGATA